ATACCTAATAATAATAAATTTAATAAATATTTATTTAAAATAATATTTATAAAAGATAACTTACCAAGAGTTAAATTTTTACTTTTTTCTAATTCATTTTCAATTTTTAAGTTAATGTTTGCAGATTCAACATCAAGAAAAGAACCAGAAAGAGTATTAGATGATGGAGGATTATATCTAGTATTAAGTTGTTTTAATAACTCAATAAAATAAGGATTTTCTATAACTGAAAAAAGAATTCCACACATTATAAATGCTCTTATTAATGAACGATTAATTTCTTTTTTACGGCCTTCTGGTAAATTTACATTCTCAAAAAATTCTTGAATATTTGAGGTAGAAGAAGATAATTTTGGAATTTTAATTTCTTCTTCAGTTTCATTAGTTGGAATAGAATTATACTTTTTAACAAATTTAGTTAGAACTGTTTTACGAATAGATGCATGTACTTTGGTACATTCATTACATATATGTGCAACCATTTTTTTAGGTATACCGTGTTTCCAATTTTTATTACAAAATTTACAAATAGCTTCATAATGTCCACCTCCAACTATTTTACCAGCAATAAAATAGTTCCAAATACTTGAAAATTTTCGTCTTACTTTATTTCTAGATATTGCTTTTCTTTTTCTTTTTGGATGAGATGGGGAAGAGTTATTTTCAGAAGAACTTTCAGACATTATTAATAAAGTTTAACACGTCAAGTTTGACACGTCAAGTCAATTGAAGATTTAATTTATTATAAATTAATTAACCAATCAAATTTATTAAAATATTTTTATAATTATCACATAATATTATCTTGATTATTTTCAAGTTATCTAATTGTAAATATTTTTCATAATACTATATATATATAATTAAAAATAGATATTATTGTAATTATATATAAAAGTTTTTAATTTTATAATTAAATTATAAATTAATAACAAGTATGTCTATAATTAAAAATTAAATATATTTATTACAAAAATTTTAAATATAAATCTTATATTAATTATAAAATTAAAAATTTTATAATTATAATTATTTTTAATTTTATATACATAATTACAGCATTGCGATATAATTATGACATTGCGACATAATTACGACATTACGACATAATTACGACATTGCGATATAATTACGACATTGCGACATAATTACGACATTGCGACATAATTACGACATTGCGAATTGTTGCAATTATTTTTTTAATTGTAACTTGAATTACAACTCCATAGTTGCAACTCTTGCCTTAATACATTAATTTCATCAACTATCACTACATACGAGTAAAAAGATAGAAAAATAAGTAAGTTTTATATGTAACTACAGTGAAAAATTATATTTCTCTACTGTGGGAATATTTGGTACAAGTGATCGATGGGAAGAGTTTATTTCTCACAATTTTTAACAATATCGATTGAATTATTATTTAATTGTTTGTCATTTTAAGAATTGTGTTATGATGGTTTGATATGTGAAAGTTATTTTTAATGTATATGTTATGCATTTATATATAAAAATAAATTAATTTTTGCTGTTTCAATTTTTATATTATTATTGTTGTTATTGTAATTGTATTATTATTATTTAAGTAATATTTTAATATCTTGTTACACAGACACAATTGTCAGGATAAAATTTGTAAAACAGTATGAAAAAAAAAGAGTGTTCCAACTTTTTGGTAGTTTGAGCTCTCGGTACTTATCCTGTGAAATGTGATGATTGTAAGATGGAAATGACTTTGTTTATATCTGTAAATATTGAAGAAAGAGATAATGAAACTTAAGCAATTTTTGAAAAAGATAGTTTTTACTCTGTTGGTGAAAAAATTATTCCGAGATTTTACAATGGAAACAAAAGAGCTAAAGTACTTGTTGCAAATGTGTATGTTTTTTTGTTAAGTACTAATTATTAAGTTCAATGTTTTAATATTTAAAAATTGTAGATAACTGTGTCAACTTCCACGCATTTAACGATTCTTAATAAAGTTATTAAGTCTAATAAATATTCCTTGAAGTTTCTTTGGTTGAGATTCCTCAAGAGATTTCAACTGAAGTTGAGGATAATACTGTTATCAACACATTAGTGACTGATTATTCCAGGCAAGAATATAATTTTATTATGAAAGTTTGTTTTTTTGTGTCACAATTTGCATATGGCAAGTTTAAAAAATATTGTTCGTCCTCAAGAATCATTGATCTTTGTTGTTGGCCAATTGAAGATAATTGAGAATGAATTCTATGTGTATGTTAAAAATGTTAACTGTATTGATATACACTTTGTTAACAAAAAAAAAATTTTTTAAGAGTAATATATCTCGTGATGTTTTGGCTTCAAGGAATTTTGCTCATACTAAACTTTTGATTACTTATCAGAATATTGAAAATTTAGAAAAGAAATCTAAAAGTGAGACTTTGGTTGATTTGAAAATTTTGAGAATACTCCTGAATTAAATTTAATAGATCGTCTACATGATGTGAAACGTGTACAAATTGATGAATCTCTTGATAAAGATTTAGTGAGTCCTGAATATCTAAATAGCAAATTCCGTACTGAAGAAAGTAATGAATTAGTTGGCTATAATACAGAAGAAGGAGGTTCTACAAAAGTTGATAAAAATGGGAAAAAGATTTTGCATAATAAGGGTAAGGGGCCTGTGGAATGGTCTTTACGTAGCCACAACATGTGTATGTAGATCAAATGTGAGAATAGATTTATTATCATGTTATTATTACATGTATAGTTGCTAATAATAAATTTTTTAGTGTTTATTTTTTTATTTTTACTTTTGGCTTTTTAATTTTTATAGTATTGATGAAAAATGGATCAAGATATTGTATTAAAGTTATTAGTCAAAATTAGTTTAAAAAAGATGATAGTATTATATAAATAACTAGAATGGTGAATTCAGATTAATAACCACCACCACCATTTTAATACAATAAAAATATTATGTGATTCTATTCATTTTTAAATATTT